CACACACACACACACACACACACAAATAAACAAATCTGTAAAATCCCTCAGGATGCCAGTCATTTAATCACAATAAATTGCAAACAGATCGACACATACCAAACATATGAATTTTTCAGGGACAGCCAATCGCTTCATTAAGTCCACATTTCCAATTTTCTTTTAAGGGAATTCATAATCATGACGTGTTCAGACAGCTAGAGGAGAATCCCACTGAGGGTGTAGCAGTGATTATGTAAAAACTATTAGCCCCTCACACTATGCACCAGTGGCCAGTAATGAGCTCATGACAAGGCTTTGCGTCGGGGAGGTCAGGTGTTGCATAACAATGGTGCTCAGTAATCTGTCACGATTCGTCTGGATGAATTAAGCTGTTTAATCCCTGAAGGTAATTTAACACAACAAATGTTCAAAGTAGACTAATTTATTAGCAGTGGTTCACATTCCAACACATAGAAGTATTTTGTCTATTTCTCCATCCTCTCTACTCAGTGGCTGATGATCACAGTTGATGCTACGGAGGGCCGAAACTGATGTTATTAGAAATAAAAGCAGAAATATATAAATGGACCAAAAAGTAACTAAATACACTCAAAAAGCACCAGTTAAATTAAAAAAGGAGAATTTCACCTCATGTTTTGCAATTTAATTGACCTTCAGATTTATTTTCCTGCTTAGATAAAAAAAAACATATATTCTATAATTTACATTTTCCCACAAGTTTTTTTTATTTCCATGTGTTTCTACATTTCTTTGTCTACTGTTTTTGTTTTATCGTATGCATTTCTGCATCGTTATGCAAATAAGGTGGGCGTGGCTTCTCAGGTCAGCTCCTCTCCTATTGGTCAACAGACAGTATGAAACTTGTGCTGCATCAGTTTATCCTAAAGTTTCAGTTTAGTTARAAACRTGCACAGGTGTTTTCCTCCTTKTCTGTGTTTTAAASTCAACTTTAAACTTTAAGCTAAATTGTRGCGGCACAAGCATGCACAGTAGATCTGCACGTGGATCCTGCTCCTTCCTGTCTGTTGACCAACAGGAGAGGAGCTGACCTAAGTAGCCCCGCCCACCTCATTTACATAATGAGGCAGAAATGCATAAGATAAAGTAAAAACAGGAGACAGAGAAATGTAAAAGCAACACATGAAAATAAAAAGACTTGAAAAATAAATAAAATAAATATTTAAGAGACACAAATTTCTTTTATTTATTAATTTATTCGTCCATCTATATTTCTGCTTTTATTTCTAATTGTGTCAGTTTTGGTCCTCCATATTTGACAGAACATCACTTCATCTCTTTAGGAATAGCTAAATTGCTAACTGTTGTGTTTTTATGTAACTTCAAATAAACATCAATGCTGAATAATCATGCAACATCCATAAACTTGAACTTTTTTGTGTCTGAACATAATCAGATTAATCTTGTGGCTCAAACAGCATGAAATCAAAACATTATAAAACTCTGCAGCACAGTTCTCTGCTAGCGCAAACATATTTATTTTCACTTACTGCTCTGCTGTAAATGTTGTCTGAGCTGAAAAGTGCTGCAGGATTGGATCGAAACCTAAAAGTTCGGCGAGCTTTAAATTGCCGTAGCTCGCTCATCATCCGTTCTACAGGGATTTTCTACAAAGAGGCCGCGAAGAAGCGCTTATTGCACTTTTTATCTGGAAACGAAGTGCTGAAGCGCTGCAAATAGCAGCAATTTCTCATCATAATACCATAAGTATCTTTCTGTAAATGGTGACAAAAGAACATTGGCAGTGGCTGGATTGCTGCTGCTTCGAGTGCTCATAATCCTGCTGCTAAAAAAATCTCCTATATGTATAAAAATAAATAAATAAATATGAAACCACGCTTAGCACTACCAGCTTTTAGCGAAGGCCAGACAACCAGACCCTCCCCTACAATTCTCCTTTGAACCGAACTGCCATGCTTCCATTTTAAGCGGCCAGTTTAAAGCAGCGTGTGGATTTGGTTGATGAGAGCAGTGCAGATGGACGGGAGCACGATGGTTTCCCTGAGGCAGCCTGCTCTTGTCAGCATGCCTGTCCTGTCTCCAGGCCAAACACAACAAAAGGGGGAGGTCAGGAAATCTGAAGTGGAGTTGTTCTGTGCCAGATTACTATAATCTCTCCATTTGGCGAACTGACCCTCAACACAAAGAGGTTTATGAAGCAGACAGACAAAAAAAAAAAGGGTTTGTGAGGCCAGTTTGAGGGTGCGGGTTAAACACTGTTATCAGCAACAGAAAACCATAGATGTTAGACAAATTATTATCTTCCTAAATTAACAAATTAAAGAAAATAGATGAAAGGATGACACTTTATGGTTATTGGAAACAAAAGCACCATCGTTTGATTTAGCAAATGGAACATCTACTTTATCATGAGATGATGGGAATTAGAGAGAATCACAAACATGTTGACTGATCAGTTTTGTAAGACCACCAGRCGGCTCGGACAGATGGTCCGACAGGGATTTATCTGTGAAGACTCCTGTCTACCCTGCATGTGAGCTGGAATTAGGCCACAGTTTTCTCTGATGGAGAGGAGGAAAACACAAACACACTTTGATTAGGTTCTCAGGCACATAATGTGAAACGGAAGACTGGTTGTTGTAGATTTTGTGGTGGATTTTCACAAACAAACAAACACACACCACTTTACAATAAATACTTCCCTTATAGATGGCSAAATCTTCAGACTAGTTTTGTAAGCACAACGTAATGAAAACACATATTTTACGTATAATATTGTACTGAATTACTGCATTATACTTATCCACAATTATCAAAAGGGAGGCTTATGGTAAAGTATAAGACAGTATGTACATTATTAATGACAAATAAACACGTATACAATTGGAATAAGGAAGCCTTATGGTAAAGTGTAAGGCAGTACACTATTTTATTAAAGGGCCAATATTATGTGTTTTTCAGGCATATATCTAAATACTATACCATAATAAAGTATCTATGTCACCTTTAGTTGTTATTAAAATGCTGTTTTATGTTTAAATGGAAAAAAAACTTATCTTCTCATCACTCCTCTTGTAAATGCCTTGAAATTGGCCTCTGTCTCTTTAAGAACCACCTTCGCTTCTGTCTACCCCATTTCGGTGCGGGGGGGGGGGGGGGGTGCGGATTTTACTTGACATTTGAAAATACATTTCCTCAAAGGTATTTTTAATCTGAAAAGCGCTTCACTGAGTGAGAACTCAGCAGACAGTTAGGTTTCACTTTCACCCGAGAGTCTGCAGGAGTCATGGGCGGGGTGTGTGGGGAGGGGGAAGGGGGTGCGCTCTGCCATGAGGAAGTTCGGCTTAAAGACACGTCCCAGGGGCGTTTCTGGTCCCCACCTGTCGTTTTGCTCCTCAGCATGGCTTCCTAAAAACCCTGCAGGATTTCTCAAACATGCATGAATGAGTCAAMGCAAGGCTTTGGGCATGTTTTTTTATGAGAGTATAACATTATAGCATGATATAAATCTCAAAAGTTCATTTTTCATGATGTTGCCCCTTTAATGACTAATAAACATGTGTAAATGCCACGAGGAAGCCTTATTGTAAAGCGTGAGACAACTATTTATTAATGACTAATAAACATGTATAGGTTTAATAAGGAAACCTTACTGTAAAGCATTAGATAGTTTAATTGACTAATAAATGTGTAAATGCCATGAGGAATCCTTATTGTAAAGTGTAAGACAGTACGCTATTTATAAGGCTCCCTTTTAGCATTTATACATGTATATTAGTCATTAATAAAATACCCACTGTTTTACACTTCACAATAAGTCTCCCTTTGACAATTGTGGATATGTATAATGCAGTAATAAAGTACAACATGATATGTAAAATGTGTTTTCATTACATTATTGTGCTTCCAAACCTAGTGTAAAATGTTTAATAAAACACCTTTAGATGCAAATGTACATGAACAGATTTGGCTCACTATTTGGCAAGAAATCAGATAGTTTTTTCTCTTATTTGTCCTTAATCAATGGACACTAAACACTTATTAATTTATAGTGTTTACAGATGAATTAATAACCTATAAACTATTTATAAGCCATCTATAAGGGGAGTTTTATTGTAAAGTGGTACATAAGGATTGCAGTCCAAACAAACACYAATGGAACCTTTACACTGTGGCCAGTTTCACATGGTTATTCTGGTAGGGATATAAAAAATGCTACAGCTAGCTGCTGCTGCTATTTATCATCTGTACTGAACTGAACTTCACTTAAGTGCAACAGGTAAGATACTAATTGTTCATACCTTTTCTACAGAACCTGACTTCTAAATATCTGTAAAATACCTCTAAGCAACTCAACAACAGCCTTTATCCCAGAATGTAAAATGTTTGTTTTTCTAATCTTTTTAAATTTTGCTTTTCATAGCTTGAGTGAAGAGTGGGCAGATTTTACTCTGAACTGACGGCTGTGAGGACACTTGGCAGCATCAGCAGCCAGCCAGCAGGGGAGGAGGAGGAGGAGGAGGAGATTGTTGTTTGTACCATCATGCTCAAATAACATGGCCAAGTTCTGTAAGTCCACAAGACATACACAGACCGGGTCATGTGACGGCAAAGTACTCCTACATCAGCATGAATTAAACATGAATCACTCCATAAGAGAACAGATTCATCTAAAGTTCAACAGGAGGACACAGGAGAAAGATGAGCACATGCTCAGCTCAGCTTTTGTAAATAATAAAAATAATAATAGGAGCCAAAAAGAGAGAAATTAAAGAAGATGAGTCAGTGTTTACAGCTAAAAGAGTTTAAAGCACAATCTGAGCTGGTCTTTAAAAATGTTAGGCTCCTCCCAACATTTCTTGAAAAATTAGAAATTATAAATAGTGTCTTAGTGATAAATGGAGTTAAGAGGAGCAGATGGAGAKGTGGCTTTTTCCTCACTTATTACTCACCAAATCAGATTTCTGTGGAAACCCTCCCACAGATGGCTGAATAATATAAGAACATGATCTAATACAGTGTAAAATAGAATGGGCAGAATGAAACAATAACCATGGAGATAACTGTAATTTTAACCAAATATTATAGCTGGCAAATGTAACACAACAAAAGTTCAAATATGAACTGAATTTATTTTAAGTAACAACTTCAACTTAAAGAGTTTAGATTTAATTTTACCCTTCAGGTCAAATGAAAACAATAAAACACAACATTCACACTGCATGTCTTAATGCCCAGATCAGATTTTTATTTAACTTTATTTTTTGAGTGTTTGTTCACATCATAATAAGGTCAACCTTCTCCACCAGATTCAGCCACAGAAGATGTGACGTCACACGCAGCGCAACAGTTTATTTTTACAGTGCATTTTCATRTTTTTAGATCTGATGGAGCAGAAATATCATTTAAATAATCCCAATAACATCAAAATAAAATAGTATTAGTAAAAAGTAAACTGTGTGAAATGTTTACAGGAGCTGGTTCCGACCTGGCAGGGGCCTGTTCAGCTGCTGAAAAGCCTCTTGTTTCAGRAGATCCGGGTTTGAAAGGTTCCCCTCATCAGCATGCAGGACGGGTTCCGGACCGGGACCCGGACTGACGGTCTCAGTTTCTGCGGTTGTGCTGAGAAGCAGCGCGCAGATCAAACTCCTGCAGAGTGAAGGCATGACTGAGAGCAGCTGCTGGGCCTTTCTGGACCTGCTGCTGCTGCTGGGTCCAGCTCTCATCTCTACAGGCTGCTGCTCAGAACTCCATCAGAACCAGTTCTGTCAGCTGCTCTGTGAGGAAACTCCACCCCCTTTACACCCCCCTCCCACACACACACACACACACACACACACACACACACACACACACACACACACACA